AGATCACCTACTATTGTGATTTTATATGTCTGTTTTGTTTCATGTTTTTCTAGGAATTTGTTTGTTCTCTTATTTTGTTTTTCCAATACGGAAATGAAAGTTATACATGTAGAGATGCACACATGTGTAGAACTTCTAAACAGTTTACAAAAATCGCTTATGTAATGCAGGAGGTAGTGAACAGATATACTTTGAAGAAAAAAGAGACACTTAAGATACCCAGTGCTAATTCCATAATGTCATGATATAAAATCTAGCAATTCTATTATTCTCTGTCCAGAGTAATATTAATCTGTTTTCTTTTGTTTAATTGCAAAATGTGTAAAGATATGGACATCTATTTTGAAGAGAAAGGGAGACACTATGGCAGCCATTGTTGACTTCCTTATTGTCTGGCCTTGAAGACCTAAAATGCCTTCATCTTCCTATTCTGATCAGTTTAATATTGTTTGGTATGAATTCACTGTGTGTGAAGATACGGACAACTATGTGGAAGAAAATAAAAGACAATATGATAGACAGTGAAGCTCTCCTTTTGTCTTGCTTTGAAATCTGTGTTTCTTAAATTATTATGATGTATTTTAGTGTTTTTTATCCTCTTTAAAATTAAAAATCAATTTATCCACCTGTGTTCCCTTAGCCCTCCCAGGAAATTCCTTATGCATCCTCAGATTCTGTAAAGTTTTCTAAAGATTTAATGACAAATACATACAAGGCGTGATGTGGAATCATGTTAATGGAATTTGATAATACCATGGTCATTTAAAGAGACAAACCTCCTTTCTCGAGGAGGAGTCTGCTCGTGATCCTTCATGGATATTCACTGAGGTCAGGGAGAGATCTCTTCACACCTGTATTATCTTCACAAAACTCAGTGGGAATGAATGGGCAAAGCTGAAACAGCAAAGCCGAGACCTACAAAAGGAAAATGTATGAAACACAGTAAGCTTCAAAACTACTTTGATCCTCCCTGAATCTCTCCTACTTCCTCTATTTTCACTCAGGACTCTTAATCACACGTCAGAAATCTCATGGTTATTGTCTTGGTTACTTTTCTCTCATCACTGTGACAAAATACCCGATGTCCAAAATGAAGGAAGGAAAGGTTTATTGAGTTTACAATTCATGGAGGTTTCAGTCCATGCTCAGCTGGTTCCAAGGAAGTGTGACATAAGCTGAGGGTCTGTTCATGGGGACTGCAAGTACCAAAGGCAGATCAAAATGGTAGTAAAAGGAGAGGAGAACAAAGAGAAGATTTTTCTGTCCCTTATATTGTATGTAGCCACATCCACTTGGGCATAACACTCACACCCATAATCCCAGCGTGGGACCCTGAGTCATTCACCAAATCTAGAAGCCCACATTCATGCCTCCATGAGACTTTGGGGAGACATCCAGACTCAAGCCTTGACAGTTTCCCTTTGATCATCACTCTACACCCATAGGAAAGGACTCATTCCGTGAGTGTGGTATCTATTGTGGGGTTTAAGTGTACATAATATGTATGAGTGTTCCTCCAACAAGAGACTGGAGGTCAAAAGATTAGAAGAAACAGGTTAGAGGTGAAAGGTCAAATGCTGGCTCCTCATCATAATCACATCCCAGTCTCCTTGATGAGACAGAGGAGTGGCAGAACAGTTAGTCTATCTGGGCCTGAAGTTTGATTGTAAAGTGGTCACTATCTCTGATATAAAACAACTTATGAGAAATTCCTACTTCTCAGGCCCAGAAGATAAGACAGAGGTAAAACCTTAATTCTGACATGTAGAAAGTCTCACAGCACTTACCTGTTGGAAGGGAAGGAAACTTTCTGGATTACTACACAATAATAATGTTGTAGCATCTGAAATTGTTAAAATGAGATTCGGCAATATTGCTCAGTAACAGACTTCATGCTTAGCATATGCAAGGCACCAGTTTCTATCGCTAGCAGCTCATATGCACATAGACAGTCCAGCTCAACTACCACTGAGTAATACACTCCACAAACTCCTGCTAACGGTGCTATGCAGTGATGCTGTGCTACTGCTCTGGCATTCATGTACACGTGGTCACAGTTGTGAAGGAAAATTGTACAGTGTGACTTCAACAGTTACACTCACACACATCTCGGTTAACTGCCCACCTCCTAAGAAATCTGCATCCTCTCAATGAGGTTCACACTCAGCTGGACAATCCAGGTCCAAATATACGACCACGTTGGTCATGCATGAACATGTCCTACCCATAAAGACCCCTTACATCACATCCCTAAGTCACTCTGTTCCACACAAGCACCTCTGCCAACAGAACATGTACCACTGAAATGATCCTATTTGGCTCTCCTAAAAGCAGGCATCTTCCCCCAACTTTCATTTGACTCAGGACCACTGGAGGTAGTGCCATTTCAATCCACCTGAAGCCACACTATTGCTGTCTGCCTCTGCAGAGATCGGCTAACTCCCCTTTAAGTAAACAGGTGTCTTTCCTTGGAACATCTATCTGAAATATTCTCAGAAACCAGCGTGAACTGGGAGTGTAAATTCTTCTGATTTGTACTTTCTTCAAAATGAGATTCCTTCCCAACAATATGGCACTACAGTAAGGTAGTGTCTTGCTTTCAATGTGAACCTAGGCCTACCTGTTGCACGTAACTATTTTCTCAGGCAATCTTGGTGGGGGACCCTCTAGAACTGTTTGTTATTGTTTCCAGAGAGAACCCATGCATGTGATAGTCAATGATAGTGAGGGAGAATCAGGAATCTAAATTTCCCCATGCTTCTGATTTCCTTCCCATGAGGAGTGTACAGGTACTGAAATGAAAGGAGGGGGAATTCAAAACAAACAGAAACAGGCAACAGTGACAGTGAAATGGCTATTTTATTTCCTTCTATGAAATGACAAGTCCTCAAAGCTCTGCTGCATATATGAAAATCAGTTGGTAACTACGCTTGAAAATGTGGGCTTGTATCCAAAGCTGTGGGTGTCAAGAGTCACTCTGCCCATCAGCGCTATGCTCACTGCTTCACTGCAGGCAGCCTGGGGGGAGCTATGTATTTAGACTGCTGGGATCATCTTCCCCAGGCAGATAATGCAGTTCTACAAGTTCATTTGTGTCATAAGTGCCAAAATGCTCAATGTACTGTCCCTGAATGTCATCAGATTGAGTGTGGAATGATGAACCAAACACAGAGGCTCCATGTCTTCTGCTGATATCTTTCTCTAAGTGCACTGATCGGTCATACACATGGTTGTCAGAAATCGCAAAAATCGGTGAAAAACTTGCAACAGGACTTGTAGGACCTGCTCCTTGTTTTCTGGAAGAGGACTGTGTGGATGTTCCCAGCAAAAAAGCTAGCTTCATTTTTAGCTGATCTTTCTTCCATTTCATACGCTGGTTCTTAAACCAGGTCCACAGGGAAGAGAGAAGCAGGTCAATAAATGGGAATGAAACCAAAGTTTTATTTTCATGATCCTTAGGATGTGAGGTTTTTGGGTCAGAAGGTGATCTCCAATTGCTGTGGACTGATCTGAACAGGGGAAGTTCTTTGTATCCCGTGCTGCTCTGGGACCCAGAAGGTCAAGTAGAGATTGGGTTTTTCTGGAAATGGGTAGTGGAGGAAGGGGCATTCAAACTCTAAAGGGAGAAATGTTAAATAAAGGGGGCTAGATGTAGTTCTATATTAGTGGTTGCTCAAAATTTTCAAGAATACATTGCAAAGCCTGAGAGCAAGGAAAGGGAATGTAGCTTGGGTTGCTTCAGGTCCATGAAGGGATTTTGCCCTCACTACCTTGACAATGGATACGAAGACATCGGAATGATTGTGAATGTTCTGACTGAGCAGTATGTAGACATCTACCTGCTGTGTTTGGATAGACTCACAGGGTGGGTGTTTGTCTTCTATGGAATGGTATGGAGAGGAGGTACACTTTAAGAGGTGAAGCCTGATGAGAATTAATTTGTTCTTAGAACATGGGCTGTGGGAGGGATTAATACCCAGCTCCCGAAAGTGCCTGAAGTCTTCTAGCACTAGGCTGCCCATTACAAGAGTGGGCTGCTAATATGGAAACAAACCCAAACAGCAAGATCTGAGATCCAGATTCAAAGGGTCCCAGGCAGTGCTATGGATCAGTTAAAATCTGGCCCTTGCACTTATTACTCTAGGAAGATAAGTCTTTTAGGTCAGCCTCAGTCTGCCTCCAAAAGTGAACATGGGTGAAGTGAAAATCTACCATATTTCACCTCTGTCCACATGCACTGCACCTGGCAATACATGGGACTTGTATGCTGGTGGTTGAAAGTGTGTGGCTTCCTGGGTCAGGTTTTATAACATTTAAAACAACACATTGGTATGTATTTATAAAAAGGTATAACACAGTAAGTTTTCCATAAGTATTTGCATAGTTCTTATATATTTGTGTATGTATACAAGTATATAAATGTCTAAAAGAAAAAACTGGCAAGTAATTACAAACTGTCAAAATAAATTTGTTTTAAATGAATGAACTGAAATTACTGATAATTAAATGGAGAAATATTAGTTATTTATGCACTGAAATATAATTTTTAGGGCTGGGGATTTAGCTCAGTGGCATAAGTGCCTGCCTGGCAAGCACGTGGTCATGAGTTCAATCCCTAGGATCCCCCTCCCCCCAAAAAGGAAAGAAATACAATTTTTAAAAGAAAAAAAACAGAATTAAAGTTACATTTAGAAGGCAACTTTTACATGTGGAAAGCTTCAGAGTCTACTATAACTTTTATCAGTAGTTACTTAACAAAATGATTGTTGAGCACACCAAAGAAAATTATGACACAATTAAAAATGAAGATCTACACTTACTGAAATAGTAATCATGGAATATTTTGGATTATGGTACATTGTGGATATTATATTTATGTCTAGAAAGATTTCTTATTGATCTGGCCTGCAGATCAATCCATGGGGAATTACTGGAGGGGGAACGGGGATTAAATAAAAGACATAGGGGAGACAAAGAGAGATGAAAGCAAGTCGAAATAATCCGATCAAGCCTCCGTTTATTCAGGAAGTGATCACACCTTTTATAGGCCAAGGGCAGGAGGTGGTACAGGAAGAGGCTAAGGGGATGAATACAACAGGGTCACCATCACATCCGGGTATGTGATGTAAGCAGGAGAGGATTATGGTTAATGTAGGCAGACGCAGTGCCCATAGGAGAGAGAGGCAGGGAGGCAGCAATGGGCTGTCGTTTGGCTCCCTACATCGCCTCCCTTTCTATATTATTTAATCAAAAGAGTATGGCAGGCCCTGCCGGACAGCGTCTATCTTAGGTCAAGGACCTCATTGCATGAACCCAACGAGGCCTTACCCATCATGGGCTTGCAGAACAGCACTTGGTTCTGTGCCCATCTTAGGTGGCCGTTGGAATTAACATGCATGTCCTAGTTGCCTGTCTCTGACTGCCTGTCCATTGCCCCAGGGCAGTTAGGCCGCATCGTCATATGGGCCACCCATGGGAATTCCTTCCCGGTAGGTTTGTTGATCTGCCATCTCCAGCTGATGATAGTGTACCTGAATGGGCTTTGCCATAAACGCATCTATCCAGTTATTAATGAGCATCATAATCCTCTGAAAAATACAAGGGCTCACAGAAAGGAGAAGCAATAGGGCAGCTAGGGGACCCAAAAGGGGTACTAGGTAAGGGAAAAGCTTCCCCACCACACACATATCGAGGAGAAGGGGTTGGCAGCCATTTGTTGGTATCTCTGTTGAAGTCATTCTCCTATGTCTTGGAGCATGCCTCGCATAACACTGGATGCAGTCTATTTGGCTGGTGTATGTTTCTCTAGACCGAGAAGAGCCTCTTCCACAGTCACGAGATTGTGTGCATGGCTGTCAGCAGTTGTAGTCTGTTTGGCAGGGATCGAAATCCACCATGGGTGTGGTATGGCTCAAGGAAAAGGCTGAGTAGGCAGCATAAGGCTCCGGGGGGGTTGTGTCACCTGTAAGAAAACACAGGGGATTGTGCCTCAGGAAATGACATTATTCCTGGCCATTGCATGGGGTCTTTGAAGAACTGTCTACTTGTTTTACGAGGCGTTCAGGTAGCCATCTAGCTTCTCTATCTTGTTGAGAGTAAACACATACTGAACCTTGTCCCCAGATAAGGACTGGGTCAAGGCCATTCCACATATTGGTTAGTGGGTCTCTCCATAAAACAGACGCAAACCATGTTTGAGTTTGAGTATGCCAAAATCGAGATGCTGCGGAGCAGCCTGAAGCATCCAGGGTCAGAAAATTTAAAATAAAACGAGCATGTGAAAGGACATTTCTAGGGGACCCCCGGGTTGGGTGCCATGTCTCCCTTTTTATTTTATCCACAGTGAATTTAAGGGAACGATGCGCACGTTCAACAATGCCTTGTCCCTGAGGATTATAAGGTATACCTGTGGTGTGAAGGATATTAAGGCTCTTGCAAAATTGAGCGAAGGAGGTACTGGCATAGCCAGGGCCATTATCGGTCTTGAGCTGTTGAGGACATCCCAGGACTGAGAAAGCTGACAGCATATGGGCTATAATGTGTCTAGCGGCTTCTCCAGAGAGTGGCAAAAATGAAGCCACTATATGTGTCAATAATAACATGTACATATTTTAGGTTGCTGAACTCATTGAAATGAGTAACATCCATTTGCCATAAGGCGTTAGGGATTAAACCTCTTGGGGTGACTCCTAGGTGTTGAACAGGTAAGTGGATAAGCGCAAGAGGAGCAATTTTTTACAATTTGTCTGGCTTGCTCACGGGTAATTTTGTGGAGGAGGCGGAGGATGTGAGCATTGAGGTGGTGTAGCTGATGGGCCTGTTCTATGTTTATGAGGTCTGATAGTGGCCCAGCAGATGGTGACGGCGCCTTTAAAAGCCAGCTGTTTAACAAAATCAGTGCCTGCATCAGCGTGGCCAAAGGCTCTGCTAGCAGCAGCAATCAAACTATCAACAAACTCTGAAAAGGGTTTATCTGGGCCTTGTTTAATGCTAGTGAAAAAGGAGCTTATATTATCTTTTGTAGGTGCTTTCTCCATGCTCAGGTAGCTGCTGTTTGAATTTGAGCAAAAAGTGTTGGATTAAACTTTTTTTGAGCCTTTCTGCATGCATAGGCATCTTCTACTATTAACATATTAAGGTCAAACCCATTGCCAGTTTGTGTATTGCGTCTGGCAGTCTCTGCAATTTTTTGTATACTCTGATTTTTACAAAAGATTATCCCCACCCAATAAAGTCACTCGGGCCAATCTTTGCCAATCTGTAGGTGTGAGCCAGACGTCAGCCAGAGAATTTAAAACAGCAAGAATGAAAGCGGCTATAAGGCCATATTGGGCAACCGCTGTCTTTAATTTTTTTAAAGTTGCAAGTGTGAATGGCGTATGAGTCCTAATGACTCATAGAGCTAGGGGCACAGCGCCCGCGCCATCTTGCAGCTGTACAGTGCCACCTTGGGGAGGTACGTTTGTTTCCATCACTGGAAACGCAATTTTGGGGAGGGACCCACGCTGATGTGGCAGAAGTGAAGCAAGCGCCATTTTAAGAGTGCCATGAGGCTTGCCAGAGGCAGGCGCTATCTTAGGAGCACTATAAGGCATTGTGCGACTGTATCCTCAATCTGAGGATCTGCATGCCTCTGGGCAAGCAGCTCAGAGATTAAATTCCAATATGTAAAGGTGGTCACTAGAACCTTTTTCCGGACCGAAAACTATAATAATCTTTTAAAGCATCTCTTACTCTTTTCCACCTCTTGGTATCTATAGAACCCTCTAGGGCAAACCTTATGGATAAATTGAAAATACTGCAATAATTCTTTTGTTCTAACCCTTACCCCTCTTGTCTTGAATGCCTTTATAAGGCCTCCCATGAACACTTCGTGTTCGTTCAATGCTTGATCTATGTCCGGGAAAGGGAATGGGGTTGCCGTTCACTCACCATGACTGGGGCAGGATGTTGGGTAGTTGTCTGCACAGGCCTTGGTACTTGATTGAAGGTCCTGTTGCTTTAAGCTTTAATCCTTGATTCAGTTTGCTCACTCCTCAGCCAACGTCTCTAGTTCAATTTGGTTTCACTTTCAGTTTAAGCCGGCTGTCTTGAACGGCTCCCTCGTTAACTCCTCTGTGCCAGGAGCCCCACACTGAGCGCCACTTGATCCGGCCTACAGATCAATCTGTGGGGAATTCCTGGAGGGGGAACAGGGATTAAATAAAAGACATAGGGGAGACAAAGAGAGATGAAAGCAAGTCGAAATAATCCGATCAAGCCTCCGTTTATTCAGGAAGTGATCACATCTTTTATAGGCCAAGGGCCGGAGGTGGGACAGGAAGAGGCTGTAAGCAGGAGAGGATTATGGTTAATGTAGGGAAACGCAGTGCCCATAGGAGAGAGAGAGGCAGGGAGGCAGCAATGGGCTGTCGCTCGGCTCCCTACATCTTATAATGGTTTTAAAATAGTCATTTCTGGTCAGTACAATTAAGACAATATTTTTTATGTTCCCTTTTCTGTGTTTTTTTTTAACAATAATAAAACGAGGAGAGAAAACATGCTGCTCTCAAAAGTATTATTACAATTTTGTGAAGGGCTAAAAGTCTATGTAAAGTCACTGGAACCTTTTTCCGGACCGAAAACTATAATAATCTTTTAAAGCATCTCTTACTCTTTTCCACCTCTTGGTATCTATAGAACCCTCTAGGGCAAACCTTATGGATAAATTGAAAATACTGCAATAATTCTTTTGTTCTAACCCTTACCCCTCTTGTCTTGAATGCCTTTATAAGGCCTCCCATGAACACTTCATGTTCGTTCAATGCTTGATCTATGTCCGGGAAAGGGAATGGGGTTGCCGTTCACTCTATGTCTATGTAAATAAAAGTCTATGTAATACACATTACAGTACCAAATTGGTGGATGTATAGGTCATAAAAATAGAAAAACTGGCCCCCAAACCTAAGCTGAAATGTATCAAATACATAACAGTAGGAAAAGAAGGAATTACTGTAAAGTAGTTTGGTGGGGAGGATCTTTCTTTTTTTAGAGACAGGAGGTTGAAATTTAAACCTTAAATTGACATTTTAAAATACATTTGACTAACAAATTATAATAGGGCTGGGACTATATAGTTCAGTGATAGAGCACTTGTAAGCATGCTTGGGCTCAATCCACAGCACTGAGGAAAAAAAGCCTGGCTTGATGGTGCAAACTATTGAACAGGCAGAAGCAGGAGGACTACAACTTCAAGCCAAATACGGGCAATTCAGTGAGACACTGGTTCAAAAAAAAAAAGAGGATTGGGGATGTACCTCAACAGTAGAGCACCCCTGGCTTCAAGACTAAGTAGCAAAAAACAATAAACATTATATATAAAAAACTATCAATACATTAGATGAAGTAGTGTTAACATGGTATTATGAGTTGAACTATGTCCCTCCAAAAACATACAGTGAAGTCATATCCCCTGGTATTAGTAAATGGATCTTACATGGAAATAGGATGATTACAAACATGATCAAGTTAAGATGAAATCATTAACTTATAAAAGAAGATACATAGAGTGCAATACAAAGATGAAGAATGAGAGAGGAATGCTATATCTACAAGACAAGGAGTGTCAAGGATGGCTGGATTCCCCAGAAGTCAGGGGAAAGGTATGTAATAGATTCTCATAAGGAACCAACCTGCCAACAAATTTGACTTTGGTTCTCTGCACACCAAAATTGAGCAAATAAATTTATGCTGTTTTAAGTTACCAAGTTGAATTTGTATTTCCTGGTTTGTTTTCATTATGTTTTTAAAATTATGAAAGTTACTTATAAAAGAGCCTATCATTTATTCAATGTGAATTCCTTCATGACGAATGAGGTCTGAGCGACTACCAAAGGCCTTTCCACATTCTTTACAGTCATAAGGTTTCTCACCCTTGTGAATTCTCTGATGATCATTAAGGTTTGAGCAATAATTAGAAGATTGTCCACATTCTTTACATTCATAGGATTTCTCACCAATGTGAATACTCTGATGCTGAGAAAATTATGAACTACAACTAAAAGCCTTGCCACACTCCTTACATTCATATAATTTTTCACCAGTATGAATCATCTGATGTTGAGTAGCAAGTGAACCACGACTAAAAGATTTCCTATAATATTTATAGTCATAGGATTTTTCACCAGAATGAACTCTCTGATGTTGAATAAATTGAGTTCTGATCAAAGTTCTTCCCACATATCTTACGTACACAAGGTTTCTCTTTATTAGTAATTTTCTGATGTAGAGTAAGAAATGTAGGCTGAATAAAAGTGGGCATGTCTTCAGATGTAAGTATTACTTGATTGAAATGTCTCTTCTTTAGAGATAATATTTTGGTTCCACACATTGATTTCATATCTAAAAATTTTTTAAAAAATCATTTTTCCTATTCTAGAAGAGTTACATTTCTTTATAAAAAAAATAGGTAGATTAAACTGAGAAAGGACATGCTTATATAGGTCTCAAATATGATTAAAGCAATTAAAGAAATTTGTAAAACTGGCAAAGAAACACAAGCATTAAAGAGAGATAATAAAAGCTGAGGAAATGGTTAGGGAAGTAGATGAACTCTATTGTCAAATTTTAGTGTGGCTAGAATCATCTTAAATATCAGAATACATACTGCTTGGGGCCATCTATATTATAAATATATGCTTATATACACAGTGAATCATACTCTATGTTATGTAATTTTGTTATGATAATTGTTAGACCTACATCAAAGCAGTATTGAGCAGAGTAAATGTGCTATATGTATAAATGATTTTGTTTAAAGATGTTAGTGTCAGTAATTCTGCAAAGGTGAATTGTTGGCAAATTCACATTAGGCAAACGGTTTTTTCAGCAAGTCTTAAGATGCTGAATAAAAACTGAGGAATGGTAGGTGTATAAAGCATGAAATGAATAGGGAATCTTCTGAAAATTATTTCTCTTGGAATTTAGTAAGGCTGGCCTTAAAATAGAATCACAATGGGAAGTAGTACAAGTCTGAGACATAAGAAATATAAGATGAAATATACTATGAGAAAAGAGGAACTCAATGTCAACAATTAAGAAGCCCTAGTTTGTTTGTTTTTTCTGGTACTATGGATCAAGTTCACGACCTTGCGCTCGCCAGGCAGGCACTTATGCCTCTGAGCTAAATCCCAGGCCCAGTAAGCCCTAGTTTTATGTTCTAAGGCAACTACTTATGCTCTGAGCCATCTGTACCTCATGTTTTAACATGAGGATGATAATTAACTCATAATTACCACAAAGACATGAAATACCATATAAATAATCTGATTTAAAATAAAGCACTCAGTACATATTGTTATGAAAAAATGTCATGGCAAAAATAGGAATACTGAGCAAATAAAATAGCTTGCAGACATCAAAATAAAACCAGGTAGATCATCTCAAGACAAATACATGACCTTTTCCCTCCTATCTCCCTGATAACTACTGGCCAATTTACATTGAGTTCATAAAAATCTCTTCCAACTGTCCTCTTCTAATACTTGTACTCTGGAACAATATCACCTCTTTCTTAGGCAGCTACATAAATTTAATGGTTTTCCCATTATGCTCCAGTACCCTCTAATTTATCAAGCACTTGAAGTGATACTTGGTCTAGCCTCATGCTACCTAAAATCTAAGCTTCTTGGTAATTTATCAGTTAAGATCCCACTGATATAGATCCTGCCTTTCCCTCTATCCCTGGTTCATATGTCACTTCTACTTGCTCAGGAGGCCCTATCTTTCAAGCATATCTAGTTCTCCCTGCTCCTCAGGGCCTTCTCACAGGGGTTTTTCTTTGTAGGTATAGCACACACTCTAAATCACTGTGTTATTCACACTCTAAATCACTGGGTCCTGTTAATTACTGCTCATCATTTAGGCCTTAGCTCAAAACATATCTCTAGTGAGACCATACCTAACCTTCAGTCTAAATGATAGTTTTTCTGATATTTGACCTTAGGTTATTCTTTTTTTTAACAGCAATAATTTGTAATGTTATATACATCTGCACAGGTAAAATGAGATCAAGACATTCTCCAGTGGATACTCAACTCTTGGCACAATGCCTAAAACATACAAGAAGCTCAATACATAATGTGCTGAATTACTGAGATACTAAAATGAATTTTTAGATGTATTGTTCTCAAAAATAAATTTTAAAAAATATATAAACAACTCTTACTATTTATAGTAGTTATAGTCTATAAATTTTGCAGAAACACTGAGTTATTAAATACTGAACTACTGCTTTCATCAACTTAATACAGTATATATAATCTTGTTTTATACTTTTATATAAAGACACTTGATATTGTTGGTTGATTAGTATTGAATGTAAGGACAAAAGCCCTATAATTTTTATGCCTTAACAAATCTCTAACACATATGTTCTCCATAAGACATATCACAGTCTTCATGTGCTTAGGAACATTAAGCAGAATTTAATACTATGCTTGGGGCCATTTTATTTGTTTCTATCTGTGGTGCTGGAGTTTGGAATGAGGGATTCACACATGCTAAACAGGCACTCTGCCACAGAAATAAACTCTCCAAGGGACATTCTAAACAGTGAAATCACCAACAGACGGCACAACAATGTGACTCTAACATCGTGAAACAAAAGCCAAAAAGAAGAGGAGAAGGAAGAAGAGAAAGTAGGGGAGGAGGAAGAGAAAGAAGGGGAAGAAGAAAATGTGAAAGTACAAAAAGATATATTTTAGTACTAAGAGAGCTAAAATAAGGCAGAGCAACACTTTGGTTGATCTCAGCTGGGAAAGTATAGTGGGAGACTCAATTTTTCCCCTTCTATATATAACAGGGAAGATATCTGAGCACTGATTTTGGGAATACAAATAAATTTTGGTAAGTTGGTAAATTTTCAAGTTCTCAATAAGGAGTAACTATATTTTTAATAAAAATGAGGCATAATTTCTATTAAAAGTGGCAGTTTCTCTCCCCCCCCCATATGAATTCACAATTCCATGTTTATCAATCCATCATAGAAACTTCCAGGACAAAGGATACTGGAAAAGAGGTAGTAGCAATAAAACTTGGAAGTTGGAACACCAATTATTAAGCAATAAGTAACACTGTTAACCAGGGAATCAAATGCAGAATCTAGGTAGATAAATTCTACAGAAATCACTCATGGTGCAGATACGTAAAAATAAAGTATTTAAAACATCAGGTATTTCTAATAATGAGGTGAATAAGAAATACTAAAAGCTAGAGAAAGAGTTCAAAGTTTTTTGCCGCTGAGCTAAGTCCCGAGCCCTGAGTTCAAAGGTTTTATTCCACATAGAAGGATAATTAACTTCTCTTCACCCAGAAAACTAAAAGTAGGCCAGGGATTTAGTTCAGTGCCTCAAGTGCTTGCCTGGTAAATGCAAGGTCATGAGTTTTATCCCTGGTACCAAAAATAGGTAAATAAATAAATAAATAGAAAACTAGAAGTACAAAAAAAAAATGGTACAAGAGAGAATTTGAATTCAGAATATCTCATGGAGTTACATAAAATATACCTACTTGTGATATAGTAAAAAACGTATCTGGCCTTTATCCTTAGTTCTTGGCACAGAGCTTCAGAATTTGAATTTGAATTTCCTGATAAAAATGACTTTCAAGCTAGGCATGGTGGCATACACCTGTAATTCCAGCACTTGGGAGGCTGATGCAGGAGGATTGCTATGAGTTTGAAGCCAGCCTGTGCTACAAAGTGAGTTCAAAGGCAGCCTGAATTGCCAGCCAGGCCCTGTCTCAAAAAAGACAAAAGAATTTTCATTATTCAAAATGTATCTCTTCTGGCCATACTTGAGATTATGTTAATGAGGTGATTCATGGAGTGTCCACAGATAATTTCAAGGAGATGGCCAAAAAAGACTAAGTCTGCAATCAGACAGCTAGGACTTTCAGCCCCAACCCCTGACCTCCAAGGTGAAGAGACAGAGTTAAATCATGACACCAGAAAGCTAAATCATGACACTGGAAAGCTTATCAATCATATCTATATAATGAAATTATAAAATTCAAGTGGAGGATTGGGATAGGTTTCTTAGTTGGTAAACACATCAATAGAGGAGGAGTTACATGCCCGGACACCATGGAGAGAGATTTTCCTGTGGGGATCCTTCCAGTTCATTTATATCTTTATGTAAGAGAGTAATCATAAGAATACTGCAGCCATGAGTTCTAGAATTATTCTAACAAATCATGAAGGTGTTCTGAGTTGCTAAGGACACTCTGTTTCTGCAAACGTCTTTTTAAAATGTGGTTCTGGGGGTCAAATCTAGGGCTAAGTATATGCTCTACACTGAGCTACACTCCAAGTCCAAGAACATTCTATTTCTGTCTCAATTACTAGTTACATAGATGGATTTGCTTTACACAATTCATCATGCTCCATAATTATGTTAGTTTTCTGCATGTATACTAATATTTACATTTTTTAAAAGTAAAATAATATTTTAAAAAATAAAATAAATTGCAAAATCACAGAAAAGCTGATCAAATAAACTGAATAACTGGGAAGCAGATGAAATGCAAACTAGTATAGGGAAAGAAAAAATCATATATCTACATACATGTATTTCTTAGGGTGAGATTACCTTCTGTTATATAATTCCAAATACAGCATATACTAAGAAGGAATGACATCTAAAATGTAAGAATAATTGTTTTGGAAATAAAGCTAAATGGCTAAAACCTATATTGTACTAGGAAAAAAGTATAAAAGGAGGAAAACATGATAGCTCAGATGAAAGAGGCCTTGGGCCTTTGAAAAGAGAGCCTCATAGCATCTCAGAGGTAATCTGTTCTCATGGCCCTGTTCCTGCCCTGTGACCTCTTGAACACAAGTGTCTGGTCAGCTCTCTGTCCACTGTCCAGGGCTCTTTTCCTTGTTCTAACAATGAGATCACAGCTGGTTTAGAATTGGAAAATCCTGCTCAGAAGAAAAGGCATGGGAATTTTTATACTGTAGGTATTCCGGAAATCAGATCTAGTTTCTTAGTGATCAAGGAAGAAATGCCACTGTAGGGAGGACCAGAGAAAGATGGGAAAGATGTATCTGCAGCCCACTGGAGTTGCCCATTTCTCAGTCTTCCATTCCCCTTCAAATCAAACCATATCTTGGGGAACATGTAGTAGAAAGTCAGTGGCTACTTGAAATGAATAATTTACAATGGAAAATGGAGACACTTTTAAGGGCAACCTGAATTTTGGAGAATAGATATTCTTACCCACTGAAACCAGGTTTCTAAAATTCTCCAACGTCACTTCTTTGTACAAATTCATCTGATCAGAGTCTAGGCATTCCCATTCCTCCTTAGAGAAGTCTATGGACACATCCCTGAACACTACTGGCCCCTGAAACAATAAACATGCTCTTACAATGGAAGAGAAAGGATACAATAACCAAATAAAAGAGGCTGGTATTGTATCTTTAGAAGGCTTATTTCTTGTGAACCAGGGTATGTGTTTTGGAGTGGATAAACAGCCTAAACTTTTCCAGTGATATGAAACAGAAAGCATCCAGCACAATCAGCATGTTCCTTCCCTTTTCTCTTTTTTGCTTTAAAGCCCAGCAGAAAGAAATGTGATGGAATTTCATGAATATCTTACAATATATTTTATAGTAAAATTTCAGAGTAGCAAGAAAAAGAAGAACTTTCTAAAAGCTTCTAGAAGGCAAAAATAGGGTAAAAATTAGGAAAGAGAGCCAGCCATGGGTAAGATACCTGTATTCCCAGTTATTAGGAGGGCTGAGGTAAAAAAATACTGTGCCATGTTCTAAACCAGTCTGGACAACTTAGTAAAATGTCTCAAAATTTAAGAAAAGGGGTTAGGAATATAGCTCAGTGCAATCATCATAAGAAGACTTATGAAAAATTATTAGGTATTGTTCCTCTAGCCAATCTCACTAACCTCATGGCTACCTCAACTCTTTTTTGCTGTTTGTCTTGGCATGTTTTCTGTATTTCAAATTAGTATCCCTATATTGCTAATTTTTTAGACAGAATCTCATTTCGTATTTCCGGCCAACCTTCAACTCATTGTGTAGCCCAGGCTGGACTTGCACTTGTGGCAATGCTCCTGCCTCATCCTACTGAGTGCTGGGATTACAGGTGCATGTTACCACACCTGACCTATATCACTATTTTTGATAAATATTTTCTAGTGACCTCCCAGGTAAATGTAGATTGAGATTTTTCCACTTTCCTAATTTTGTATCCCTGCAATGGAGTTATATCATAAGTCATCAGTTTTAAAATTGAGACTAGACCCATTCATAATTCCAAATTTATACATGGAGAAAACACTATTCTTATACTGAGCCCTCTTTCCTAGTACCTTCTAATTTTCAGATAAAACAATCATATGTTGAATGAATATGATTTACTTAATTTCTCAAGAAACACAAATCAAATACTGATATATTATTACTACCACTTGGTTAAAGAATGCAAAAACTTCCCACTACCTACTTCTGAGATAAAGTTCTTTTGATTAATAATGCTTTCATTTAAGCTATAAATATCAACTCTAAAAACCAAGAACAGATAAACAGGCAGAAAAGAAATTCTATCCTGAAGAGGAGTAGACGGACAGAAAATGAGGTGAAGGGAAACTGAAGGAATAAAGACTGAGGATATTTTTCTGTACTAATAATAATACTTATAAACTTCCAAGCAGATAAAAGAAATGGGCACTTAAATATATTAAAATTACAGAAAAAAACCTAAAGCTCTTTTAAAAAGCCAGTGAAAGAAAAAACAGACTATCTTATAAGGAAAAGTGCTGAATTAATTAAGATTGACACAAGGACATGCAAATAAATCAATGGAATAGAGCTCATGGATATTCTCATGAACACATGGACACAAGACCTATTTGCAGACCAGTGAGAACAATGAAATTTACAATATATGATATTGAGAAAAAAACAGGAAGAAACTTGATCCATAAACTTGCCAGTTACAAGTGGATTTTTGGTAAAACAGGGAATTAAACCCAGGGCTTTTCCATGAAGCTAAATCTCCAACTTTTAATTTTTTTTTAATTTTAAAAGTGGAGTCTTGCTAAGTTGCCAGGTTTCCTAGGATAGGTTCACACTTATGATTCTCCTGCCTCAGCCGTTTAGAGTGCTATTTAAATGGGAAAGCAAAACTCTTATCATTTAGCATAAATATTAGTATGAACACTAGGCTTTAATACCAGAACAACTACTCTTTACTCCAACGGAGAACTTATAGAGACCTATATTCAAATAAAATATCTCTTTTAACCAAAAATTTCAGAAGAAAATAAAAAGGAAATCACACCACACCTTGGATATTACTTGCATTAGTTCATCACATTCTTTACTCTTCTGCGTGACTCACATGGAAAAGGGCAGAACTAGGAGGGAGAACAAAATAGCCACTACGTTTTTCTTGGTACGCAAAGGGAGGTTAAAAGCCATTGTTAGTATCACCCCATTACTTACCCCACAAAGGTAAATCAGAGAAAAACGGGGCGGCCTATCCGATTTCACATAAGAGAAAGGCTGAGTTCACTGCAGTCCAGGGCTAGAACTGACCAAACTTCAGAAGTACCCTGGAGGCACAGTTCCTCAGTCACAATCACACAGGCGACCGGAACCCCTTACTAATACATACAAAGCGACGTATATTTTGGCACTGTCATACTTTATGCTTAAAATGCTTAAAATGACCAGACATCACATACGTTGGCACATAAAGTCGAAGCGTCATAATGTATCTCTCAGACAAACCCACAAACTGCCTTCTTCGGGGAGCTCTCCCTTATCAGCTCCCCGTGGGCCTCGAGACTTCGCACCTAAAGCCTTTCCAGTCTTCCAAATCTAAACCTATAGATCTGAACCAGCGACCCCAGAGACCGCTCTCTCAACTCACTGATCTAACGGTCTCGCTAGGTGTGACGAAACATCAGAATTCCCGCGAGAAGAGTGACAGGCTACTATGCCCTTTGGGAAATGTAGTCCCGAAGAGGGCCCACGCCTATTCCTCTCAGTATTTCGTCTGAGTCCGCCGAAAGGGCTGCTCCAATAAGTAATTCTCCCACGTCCAGATGCAGTTTTAGAACTATACCTCAATGCAGAGTGTAGCGCCGGAGTTGAGCCTCCACTGCAACCCTAGCTCGCCACTCACACCATAACCGTAACCCCCGGAGCTCTCCGACTGGAAGCTGAATTGAGACGCAATGCATTCTGGGTGGGATGTAGTGGTCGGGGATGCCGTACCTGGTTTGATACGTTGGAGTCTGTCCAGGACCTCTCTGCAGGTAGACTTCACTCAGGCTTTTACAAACTGTTCGCTGGATGCACATTTGGGTGTTTCCAGTAGGCGACGCTGAAGAGTCCCCGCAGGGGGAGGTGAGGGAGGGGCTGGAGCGGTCCGGTTTGTACCGGCCGCGGGTGGCTGACTGAGCGGAGGCTGTTAGGCGGTGCTCAGGGTCTGGAGTAGGGGCACTGGGAAGCGCTGTTCTTGTGAGTACATTTGTTACTGGTGAGTGACTGGAGTTGGAACAAAAAAATGATGGAAGTCTGTCAGTTTATAATTTGAGTGCTGGAGATACGGTGATTGTGTGAGGTGATGGCTTAATAGTGATGTCTGTGAGTCATGGTGATGTTTATGGTCCTATGTTTGTGATGAAGGCTGTAGTGAGTGTGAGCACGGCGAACTGTGTATGATTGTGATAGTGGTTCTTGCCGGACATGGGTTAGTTTCTCTAGCACTTGACAAGAGTTAATAATTACTGTGCAAACATTTTCTGGGCCTGGCGGGGTGGCGGCACATGCCTACAGTCACAGCACCCTGCGAGGCTGATACAAGATTGCAAATTCAATCCCAAATGTGTCATTATAAGAGAGCCTCTGTCTCAAAACATAATAAATTAGGGATGGGCATGTTGCAAAAAGCCGTGGCGTGAATTCCTAGTGCCACCACTACCACCACCACCACAGCAAAACTATGTATTTGTTTTCTAGTGGTCCTCCCTTTCTATTGGCTCCTCTGTCTTCTCTGCTGATGGTGCTCTCCTCTTCCTCACGACCCTTATTCTGTAGCTTTCCGGTTTTTCCTGATGATATTTTCCAGGCTCGTCATGGCCATATTATGCTTTCCTTCTTTCGATATGCACATGTGTTAATTTTTTAATTGTGTGTGTGTGTGTGTGTGTGTGTGTGTGTGTGGTGCTGAGGATTTAAGCCTGAGCCTTTTCCCATGGCAAGTACTTACTAAGTTATACCCCCTAGTCCGATATTAATTTAACAATGCTTAACAAACCACTGCTGGACTCAGTAGCAGAGAACAGCTGGTATTTATTCTCATGTTGACATTTGTTTTACAGATTCATTGTGTTCACAGCATTTGGTTAAGTTGGATGAGTTCAAATCTGCCCTGCATTTCTTCTTTTTGAGGCTCTGGCCCAAGGGGCAAGGTATGGTTTCCAGGGCATTTTCTTTTCATGGTGGATCGTCAAAGCACATAACAGATCATGCACACATCCTTAAAATCTCTGCTCCTAAATATGTTAATATTATGTTAACTAAAGAAAGTTACACTAAGCTTAACATTAACTACACCCACAGATAGAGAACAAGGGAAGCTACCTGGCAAATAGGCCAATTAGAGGAGGACTGAGATTCCAGTCTACAACACTGAAGAATGTTTAGCCTCTTTTGTCTGATAACACTACTTTTTAGGTTCTGTTAATGTCTTTTCAGAAATTTCATTTTCTTGAGCCTTTCCTTTATGTTTCAGGTTTCATGTGAGGACATATTCCTGATTTTTTCGCTCTTTAGCCTACTTGATAAATAGGTGAGTGTAATTCAGTTATATTTATCACAGTGGCTGATAAAATTTTTTCTAATACTGTTTTAATATGCAGTTTTCACCTTTTCCCTTTTTCTCTCTTTGGTTTCTGACCTCCTCCTTGATTTTTTGATGTGCATACTAACAAAACCCAAACTTAAATAAGACTGTTAAACACTTGAACTCTGAATTACCCATCCTTTTCTGTTTTGTAATTATTTTAGGTATTATTGTCTTCTAGTTTTAAATTCCCAAATTATTTTAGGTATTATTGTCTTCTAGTTTTAAATTCCCAAATTAATGAGCATGGTAGCAGACACCTTTAAACCTAGCTTACTCAGGAAACCCTGGCAGAAGGATAACAAGTTTGAGGCCAGCTTGAGCAACTTTACACCCTGTCTGGGGAAAAAATTGTGGTGAAATACATAACAAAATTTATTGTCTTTTATGGGGGATCTTTTTGGGACAAGATTTCACTATGCAGTTCTGGCTGGCCTTGAACTCACTTTAACCCAGGCTGGCCTCGAACTTGCAGCAATCCTCTTGGCTCAGCTTCCGTAGTAGAGTACCACCACACTCAGTTATTCTCTTTAATTACATTTAATTATATAGTTCAGTGACATTGACTACATTCAAATTGATAGTCTATCATCACCACTGAAACTCTTCATCTTGCAAAACAGAATCTTGGCACTCACTAAAAATTACTCTGTTCCACTTTCCCTCCAGCCCCATCAACTGCTATTCAACTTTCTATGAATTGAACAACTTTAGGTACCTCATATAAGCATTATCACATTAACTTTGTATTTTTGTGACTTGTTTAACCTGACTAATGTTTTCAGCATTCATCTATATTAGTTTGTGTGAGAATTTCCTCTCTTTAAGTTTGAATAATACTGTATTTGTTGTGTGTGAATAAGTATTTTTATCCATTCATCCATCATTAAACACTTGGATTGCTCCCACTATTTGGCTCTTACAAATAACAGTGCTATAAACATGAGCATGTTCAAAATGTCTGAGTGCCTGTTTTCACTTATTTTGGGTGTTTTCATAAGAAATGCTTAATCATACTATAATTCTGTTTTTAACTTTTTATTTCTGCACTGTTTTTCACAGTGGTTGACATTTTATCAGCATACTTTTTGAGCCCCAGCTATCATTGTGAAAACAAGACAAAACTTCCTGTTTCCATGGAGTTTATATTGAGGGAGTAGATATATATATACGTGTATACATGTTATATATGTCATATAAGTAAATTACAAAGTGTTTATAAGGAGATAATTACAGTAAAAGAGAGTAACTAGTAGGAGTATATCTCAACTATAACACTTGTCAAAATTTATTATAATTATTTTTATTATCCCTGTTTGTCATAACGCAAAGAGTAATCTTTCTTAAAGAAGATGATAAATTAATATATAGTAATAGCCTTGTCATTTATTCACCCAGTATCATGATTGACATAGGTAAAAATTCTCACTTTGAGGGGCTGGGGATTTAGCTCAGCGGCATAAGTGCCTGCGTTGCAAGCAGGCAGTCGTGAGTTCAATCCTCAGTACCGATAAAAAGGAAAAAGACAAAAAAAAAAAAATTCTCACTTTGAAAAGTCTTGGGATTCTAAATTTCAGCTATGTATCAGTTGCCACAGTAAATCAGATAGTGAATGAAATACCTGAACTTGTAATGTAACTCTCTTTTATTTCATATGTCAGGCTGCCATAAGTCTGAGTACTTTTGACTCACTTCTCATCTGTCACTACATTGAGTTTATAACTTTGTATTCATGGATGATATTTGAAGAGCAGATATGTGATGCTGCATTGTCTCTAGATTCTTGGTGTCTCTGTTTAGGACTTTGAGTTTTCTCCAGACTCCTGCTGATTTCTGCATCCAACATTTCTGGTCAATGACTCCAAACAATTTGAATTACAAATAAGAAAGATAAGTGTTTGGGGTCTGTGCTGATTTACCAAATTATCTCAAAATTTACTTGCTTACACAACAGTGTGTATTTGTTAGCTGACAGTGTCTGTGGGGCTTGATTCTGCTGATTATTCTGGCTCATGTATTTCATACAGTTGTAATCAGAACACTCAGGGTTTCAGTCTTCAGAAGGCTGGGCTTAGCCTGGAGATGCACTTCCAAGATGACTGACAAATGACTATTACCTGTTGACTAGACTGGTTGAGTGTCTTCTTAGTATGGTGGCTTGCTTCATTCAAAATTCATAATCAAAAAAATATGCAAGGTGGAAGCCCCAATGTCTTTTATGGCCTAACGTTGAAAGTCATACACCATCGTTTCTGTAGTGGCTTGTTGATTATACAGATCAAACCTGTTAGTGTAGCGGGGTCTATAAAAGGTATTATTCCCAGAAAACACTGATCAGTAGCGAATATCTTGGAGGCTGGCTAACATGGGAATACAATGAGAAGCCATCAGGTAAATTAGATTTATGTCCTAAGCTCACAGGTCCTGGCTTCAGAGGAATAAAACAAATCTGATATGAGTACAAAGAAGCTTGACGAACAAATATCATGGAAGGAGACCTCCTAACCTAAGACTTACCTAAGAAGCTGGAGAATCCTGGGAAAGAGTGGACCCTGGAGTTGCTGGACCCACAGACAGTGTTAACCTTTATGCCCAGAGCTGGCAAAGTCTGAATGTCATCTCAACTTTCTTGATAGCAATAACTGTGACGATGGACCATTCGATCCAGACGATGGAAAGGAGAGGTGAGGCGGCTCAGAGATGAGCAGTTTAGGAGAGAGAAACTATACTCAAGAACAGTGCCAAAGAGGAAGTTCAACACTGCTACCAATAATAGTTCACTGACTGTGCAGCACACATACTTATTTTTTCTTGTTGCTTATTGCTTTTATTTTGAACCTTTGCACTGAACTATATCTCTATATGTTTTTTTAAAAAATTTTTTGGAAGAAGTCTTGCTAATTTACTATGTTTCCAAGGCAGGGGTCAAACCAGGGATCCTTACACCTTGTGCCTTATGCCAGAGTGGTGGCATGTGCCACAATGCCTTGCTGACATTTGTTTTTCATTTGACTATTTAATTTTTTAAAAAACAAAAAAAAACCAGTTAGGATAGTAGCAGTTTGAGAAAAGTTTTCCTATTTACCAGGCTAATTTCTAACTTACTCTGTATCCCAGGCAGGCATTGTACTTGTGATTCTCCTGGTTTATTCTCCCAAATGCTGGCTTTGTAGATTTATGCCACCATGCCTGGCTTAAAATAAATATTTTAAGTAATTTCTATTTTTCTTTGAGGATATATTGAAATATTTTTTTAAAATGTTATATAGGTATAAACAGCAGTTTCATATTCTGTCCTTCCTGATACTTCTTCCCACTGCCCTAAGGAAGCACTTTGTTTTTTGTTTTTGTTTTTTTTAATTTAAAGATACAAAGAAAAAATAGAAAACAAGGTAGCATAATACAGAATTCAAAAGAAAAATTAACACTAAGAAATTGCTAGTTGATACATAATATATTGTCATCTTAGAAATAGTTATGTTCAAGTTACAAAATCAAATCGTAAAAAGTGGATAGACACTCAAACATTGACAGTACAAACCATTCTGTTCAGTGATCCACCAAAAATTTAGTAATATGGTCATCTATCTTACACTTATACATACAGTTATATCTGTTAGAGTACTTTCTTTCCCTTTCATTTTTACAATATCTATTACACATTTTGGATCTTACTACTTTTCACTTTTTACTGTTTTTTACACTAGAGAGACAATGTGTTATTTATTAATGAGTCTTGTTTATTTCACTTATGAGAATATTCTCAAGTTACCTCCATTTACCTATAAAGGGCTCAAGATCGTCCTTTTTTACAGCTGAGTAATACTTGTATAAAAACATGAGGAAGCACTTTGAACATTTTTGTTTGGATATTCATCTTTATATTTCTGAATAACATTCACATACAACTATTATTTGATTTCACAGTTAAAGTTCCTATTAATTTTGTCATTATACATAAAGATTTAGCTGTCTTTCACATGTCACCCTTACCTGGACATACTCTTCTCCTTGTCCTTTCTAATCAAATTTTAGGATCTATAGGTATTTATATTGGACTAGTCAGTTTTCTCAGGAAGAACTGCTAGATTTGGTTAGGGAATACAAGTGGAAACCATTGGCTTTTTGTGAGATGACAAAGGAAAGAAAGGTATTTCTGATATTTATAGCTTTAATATTTTCAATTCTTTTAAAAAGTGCATTGTTGTTTATCATCTCACATTGTTACTGGTTCTCTGTTCTTAATGAATAGGGAAGAAAAAGTTTGTACCTCTGAAGTTAACCACAGTCCTGTATTTTGAACATTTTCCACTTTGCTGTTCTTTCTCAGCTTATGTATTATGCATCATGAAACACATACACACTTCTCTTGAGTATATGATCATTTTTTAACATTTTACTTTTTTCTATTTTGCTTCAACTATCTTTATCAGAACCTCATTTAAAATAGCATAGCCCCACCAAAAAAAAAAAAAAAAAACACATATTTTTCAGTGTGAGGTTTGTCACCATATTATATGAGACAGAAGATATAAGTTGGCTTTAATGCAATTTTATTTTATTTTACTTGGCAGTATTGGGGATTAAACTCAGGGCCTCATATATGCTAGGAAAGCACTCTACCAATTAGCTATATCCCCAGTCCTTAATGCCTTTTTTCACACACACTACATTTCGTTCCCTCTTTTTCCACCTTATTAACAAACCCTTATTGCAGAAGTATCTAATACTTCTGTTTCTCCTGTGGGGTCTGCTGTGGCTTTCCTACTCTCCTTACAGCCCTTTTTTAAGGATGAGATTTCTCTAAGTAAGTTAATACCAGTCATCTCTGTTCTCTAGCTTGCAAAATTTTATTACCATCTCTTAACTGCTAAAGTTTTTGTCTATTAGTTTATCTTCCTTTATGAATGTTTATTTTGGCTTGTTAGATAAAGGAGTACAAATATTCAATCTTCCATGTTTAACTAGGAGAGCCTGAACTTTTTAGTGTTAAAAATACTGTTACTGTAAAATGACATTAGAATCATGATTGTATTTAGTCTGTCATGTGAATGTTCCACAATTGTGTATAGCCAGTTCTGATTAAAGTACCTACCCAAATTCTTCATGATAAAAATAGTAATTTAAAGACCATGTTAATCTTTGAATCTGTTTGAGATTTATTACATATTTAAGATTAATTTCTTATTGGGGTAAACAGCAAGATCCTAGAGAAATACAGTATTGCTAATGTGTAATTGGACACACTATACTTAGTTCTCCAGAAACCATCATAAGAACCCCATGTGATTAAAGAAGTCATCAACATATATCTCGTTTCCTCTACAGCTTGATGATGTTTAACATTTCTCAATAGTTGTGAACATTTCTCAATAGGGGTTCTTTAATTGCCATATTTCTTTGTCTGGAACTCTGAAGCAAATCTGTTTTGTTTCTCTTTCCTTAGCTTGGTGTTTTCGGGACCCTGCTTTTTCTCAGGAAGAGGAGGATACAGACAGGTTTCTTGTATGTACATTTTAGAAATTTGCTTGTGTCCTGCATTATTTTATAATTCAGTTGTACAAGGTTACTGTAATCTACCAATAAGTTGGAAAAACTCAGCCAGAGTGCTATCTGTAATCCCAAACAGTTGAGAAGTTGAGGCAGGATTGCTAAGAGTTCAAGGCCAACCTGAACTACATAGTGAGACCCTTTCCTCCACCCCTCCCAAAAAAGTCAGTGAAAAGTGAAAAATAGAAAATCAGAATCAAGGGAATAAGGATGTATGCCTATGAAGAAATAACTATATCCAGAATTACTCAAATTAGGCTCAAATTTGAATGTAATCTGGAGAGTCAAAGCAAACAGATACAAAGTCTGTTCCATAATTTGCACTGATAATGAGGAAAAAAATCTTCATATCATTTAAGGAAAGAAAAAGGTTTTCATTGATACCTGGGCCAAAAAAGAATTTTTAAAATAACTGCATAAATTTTGTAATTTTAAGTTTAGTATTTAAAAGTTGGCATTGCCCAAAGATCAAAACTTAAAATGATTTAGAAATATAAATGGAGCATGTGTCTTTGCAATGATCCTACGTAGGTATGTTTTTCAATACAAGTATGTTGGGATTTCAGTACAAGTTAAACTAAATTATACTAATGTTCAGTGGCAAAGTTTTATAGTTCTGATATATGTAACTTTTCATATCTTTTTATGGTCTTTAGAAGATGTGGTGTTATTATCTCACAGTGTTATCAGTTCTTTTCTGTTCTTGACTGTTGTTTCCACCTCTGAAGTCACTCACAGTCCTATATTTTCAACATTTTCCACCTCGTTGCATCATTTTCTTCACCTCATATCTTACCCATCAAGAAACATATACACACAGTAGTGTGTATGACCAGAGAATCATATGACTCATACAATTATTTGGCATAGTGATTCTCTGGCTCTCGACAGACTTGGGGTTAGATCTTGCAGTGTGTATGTTCATGGGCAAGATTCTTAAAGTCTTTTTTGTCTCAGGTGGCATCATCTCTACATGCAATGGAACTTACTTTATAAGAGTGTTGAGATACTTAAATGCACGTCATAAGTGCCCCAAAATTTACCTGTGTAGTCTTCTACCTGAAATGAGTTTTAGATGTGTTGACTGTTTTCATTAATTTTCTTTTTAGTTTAGACTGTAACACAAAAGGTAAAAGAAATGATTGCCTGACTTGAACTAATAAAATTATTCCTTAAATAAAATCACCATTAACACTGTAAAAAAGGCAAAGCTTAGAACAGTTTTTGTAATACCTATAGCAGAAACACAGTAGCAATTCTTAAAAACCAATAATTAAAATGATAGAAAATAGGAAATGCAGGTGGCCTATACATATTTTAGAATAATGTCACAAGGAAACAAACAGTTCAGATTAGCAAGTACATTTTTAGACATATTTTAAATTGATGAGTAATGACTATCATTTATGAACAAATTTTGAATTATTAGTTCATGTATACATTTTATTTACAGAGTAAAAAAACCTATAAAATGTGTTAAAGAGATTCGAATCTACAATTTGGATATTCTTAGCTATCAAAAAGATTTATTTCTATTCATATACCAGAGCCAAATATTTCAGTTTGTAGTGTCAAGTAGAAATGGACTGCCTGAATTTGAAACCTTTTAGTCTCAACCACATTCTGGAATGTAGATGTAAACAGATTTCATAACTGCTCTATATGAGCAGACTATGCTACAGTTAGAAAAGTCTTATACAAGTACTTAGTACATAACAGTTGTATTGTGCTGTAAACTTTACATACTTTATGTGTCATTGTCAGAAGTCTGTGAAATAGATACAATTGTTTTAATTTTTATAGTGTGGAAAGTGAGACACAAAGGGTAAGAAGCTTATATAACTATGTGCCAGTTTGTAATACAAAACCAGTATAATCTGATTGTAGAGTTTATGCTCTGTGATACTGTACTCAAGCACAAAGAACTGCATACTTTAGCAGTTGCCTGTTGCTATTGTCTATTTTGTTATTACTTTTTCTACTCAAAATTAGGGAATTTTCAGAAAGCCTACATCAGTATTAGTACTTCTGTAGATTTCAGTCTGCTACTTATGTTACTCATCTTTTGTTGGATTGACAATTGAATTGACTTAGATACATTTAACATATGGTAAATAAGTACATGTAATGAGGTAATTAAGTCATAATAGAGAACAATAAAAGTTTCATAGTCTTTTCTCATGAGTTTCCACTCTTTTTTTTAAAGATAACTCTTCTATTCTGTCATATAGGTTATCTCTTTTCAAAGTGTTTCTCAAAATATATAGTCTATATAGTCTATCTTTTTGAGACAGAGTTTCACTATGCAGTTCAGGCTAGCCTTGAACATACTTTGTAGCCCAGGCTGGTCTTGAACTCACAGTGATCCTCCTGCCTCAGCCTCCCAAGTGCTGGGATTACAAGTATGTATCACCATGCCTGGCTGTTTATGTTTAACTGGAATATGATTTAAAATTGACTTGAGGTAGGAATTTACTGATAATTCTATCAGTAGAATCATTTTTGCATATAGAAAACCAGTTCTAATACTCTTTATTACATAGCAGATCGAGCTTTTGTGATACTACCTTTATATGTCCTTAGGGTCAGTCTTTTTATTTTGTCTACAACTTAGACCATTATTGCACCTTGTATCTTGTGTTTTACATTGTTTAAGTAATTGTAACTTTATTGTAACCTTGATTATTGGATAAGGTATTCTTGCTTCCTTCTACATATATGTTCTTGGTTTTTCAGAAACTTTTCAACTACTTTGGAATCTGTTTCCATTTGAATTTTAGAGTCAGTTTATCTGGTGTTGGGAAGAATAATTTGGTGGCTTTAAGTGGAATTGTGAAGAATTTGTAGATTTACTGGAAAAGGAATTAAGTGGAAAAGTTTTCTATCTTACTCAAGGGATGTTTTAATTTAAAGAAATCTATTATATAATTTATCTTACTTGAGAAAAATCACCTTTTTAAAGATAAAAATTTTTATTATCAGAATCTGCGGTTTAAAGGACCTATTTATAAAATATGAATAAAAGAACATTTAACACTTATGTTAAACAATACGTACACACACATGCACACACACAGCAAAATAGAAGAGAGATAAATAGGAAATAAAGTTCAAATGCTTTCTCAAATTACATACCCTGTTTTAAAAATATTTCAACTTATATGCTAATTTGTTTCATTTATACTATTGATTTTACTTTGTTGAAAATAAAGTTTGTGTTATCTGTTTCATAAGAATCTTTTTGGTTTATGTTTTGTACTGAGTAACTATTTTGAAGATGATATATGGAATAATAGCTATGGTTATTCTCTTATTTGGTTATGAATGTGTTATTTTATATAAAAAAGCATGCATTAAGTTATTCACACATATAAGTCATATATATATACACTACACAAAACCTAGCACCATGCTTACTGTTAAAAATTAGAAATCTTCCAACTAAAGTTAAGAACGATGACCAGATTGCCCATTCTACCATATTTATTTACCATAATTATATATGTCTAGGGGTTTAGATAAGGCAAAACTGAGTTAAAAATTGAGAAGATAAGCTGGTTGTAGCAGGACCTGCACTTCCAGCACTTTGCTAAGGCAAATGGTTGCAACTTTAAGCCTAGCTAGAGCAATGCTTAATAAGACCATGTCACAAAATATCTCAAAATAAAACCATATTTTGAGACAATATCCCAAAATAAAAAGATGAATGGAGGTGTAGCTTAATATGAAGACCTCACATTCAGTCCCCAGTGCCTACAAAAGGAAGGTGCATGCAAAATTAAATAGGAGGATGTGGTTATGTATATTTGCAGCAAGTTAAACTGTATGTACTATACATAGAGTTAACCTACAAAAATCAGTGGTGCCCTATATAAACCCCAGCCAGCCCAGAAATAAAATGGAAGAAAGATACTCAGAACATTAACAAAACTTGCAGACAACATGAGAATTGTCTCTGATGTGCTATATTGTGTGTGTGTGTGTGTGTGTGTGTGTTTGTGTGTCTGTGTCTATGTCTGTGTGTGTGTCTGTGTGTGTGTCTGTGAAATCTTCTCCCATCTCCCCTCTAGTAACTGGGGTTGAACCTAGCACCTCACATATGCTAGGCAAGTGCTGTAACCCTGGCTGCATCTGCAGTCTTTTTTAAAATAAGACAAGGTCTTGCTAAGGTGACTACATTGACCTCAAACTTTTGATTGTCCTCCTTCAACTTCCCAGTTAGCTTATATTGCAAGTATAAACCAGCACACTGAACTCAAAAAATCTTTAAGATGTTATTGAGACCTACAGGAATGTGAATACATTTTTAAATACTCTTTTTTTTTTAAATCCAAATTTGTGTGACTCTCTCTTAAGATTCTAAATATTACCAGGACATGTGCTTATAACTGTAGCTATTTGGAGGCTAAGGCAGGAAGAATCGAAGTTCTAGAAGCCAACTTGGGAAACGGCAAGATGCTATGTTAGAAAAAGGGGCTTGGGGATGTAGCTCACTGTAGAGCATTTGCCTAGTATGTGTGAGGCCTTGGGTTCAGTCCCCAGTACTACAAAAAAAAAGTTGTAAAATTTTTTTCTTAGAATTAGACAAGACTATTTACATAGACAACTCTAGAGTACATTTGTAAAATAAAATGTGCAGAGTAGCCAGAAAAAATATGGAAAGATATTCTGTGGCATTTTTCTCCATTTTAAAAAGGAGACATTCATTTAATGCTTACATAACTTTAATTAGGAGATATTTAACAAAATGTTGCTCGTCAGCATATACATAGATATCTACATATATCTATATACATAGGTATATATATAAAATTTATAGTGAGTATAAAGGTAATTCCAACTCATGTGATATATATCTCTATACTTACATATACATATATATGTATATACCTGTATATATAGATCTATACCTATTTTTATTTACATATACCTATATGTATATAGATCTATACCTA